AGAGAGAGAGAGAGAGAGAGAGAGAGAGAGAGAGAGAGAGAGAGAGAGAGAGAGAGAGAGAGAGAGAATTATAGGGCGAATAGATTCCTCGATGGGGAGGGGTATAAAGTCGACATCGAGAAGATGATGGGATGAATAACAGGATGAATAGGCACGTCGAGGAGAAGGAGACGAGATGATGGAAGGAGGAGCATGAAATGGTGGAAAAGGAAGACACACAATGTTGCTGCTGAGGGAAGGAAAAAGAAGAGGAGGAGGAGGAGGAGGAGGAGATAGAACGCGGGTTGGGGGTGTGTGAGAAAGAAGAGGAAGAGGAGGAGGAGGAGGAGCAGATGGAATGGGAGTGGAATGGGAGTTACGGCGAACATACCCGGCAAGTGCGGCTGGCGATGAGCAAACTTGGAGGGTAGAGCTTTCCTACGCGCGCCGGGCGACGATCGACGTCGCCGCCTCGTCAAAGGGGTACGTCCAGGATCGAGGATGTCGACGTGTCCGTCGTCGACTTCAACGACGACGTCTTGCGGCGATGTCGGCAGTCGGCAGCGACTTGATCGTGCGACTGGCGCGGGCAGTGACCGGCAAGTTGACGTCTTGCTTGTGCGACTTGATCGCCAGTGACCGGCAAGTTGCCCGCGCCAGTCACACAAGCAATTGAACGGGGCGCACTGTGGCGGTCGACGAGCCCCAGGGGCAAGGTCCCACTTGCACGGATTACGAGAATCTGGCCGTTGATCTCTGTTATCTACGGTTAGTATCCCTTAATTCGTGCAAGTGGGACCTAGCCCCAGCAGAGCAGCAGAGCGAGGCTGGCTGGGCGTCTCGAATCACACGCCGGTTCAGAATTTCCGGATGGTGGCTATCAAAAATGGGAACGCTGGCACCAATCAGCAGCCGACCTCACCCGATTCCAAAATTTTCAAAAATCTCTTCTCTCGTCCTGTTCATGACAGTTTTGTCCTTTCCCGTTCGTTCGGGCAAGTCAGCCCCGACCCCTCGAATCGACGAACTGCACAACAGACCCCGCACGTCCACTAGTATTACTTTTACTTTTTCCACTTCTCTGTGGACGTAAATGCGATTAGGTGCATGCATGCCGGGTCGGAAACGCGGTGTCATACGTCCAGGAAAGTCCTAGTGTCAGTATGCCCTCACTGGGAGGGTACTGGAACACTCGGAGCCATGTCCCACTTCTCGAGGTTTTGGGCCTCGCTGCACTACTCTCGAAATGTGCAAAACGAGAGTGAATCTTCCGCTAGAATATGGAAAAATACACCGCCATGATTTTTGTCTGTTCTGCATTTCGAGAGTAGTGCAGCGAGGCCCTTTGTTCTCGTTTTTCGAGTATACATGGCTCCCTGCCATCCGATCTGAAAATCTCACGGCCCTAGTGTGACCACGTTGGAAAATACACGAAACGTAAACTAGACCCCCGCTACAGGTAGTGGGACACGGGCCTGAACCGCAAAGTTTTTTTTTTTTTTTTTTTTGGTGGAAACGAACGGCAAATAAAATGGTCAAGAAAAAAGAAAAACAAACAATGTATTTCAATATAATGATAATAAAAAAGGCCTGAAAGGATCCTACAGACAGACGTGGCGTTGGGTTTTGAGGTTTTTGAGGTCAGGGTGAGGCAGCGCGAGAATATTTAAAAGTCCACAGCAGGTGGGTGGATAGGGATTTGTGTATTGTGTAGGGTGTGGATATTATATGCGGTGTACCCCTACACAAATCCCTACACCGACGTCGTGGGGAGTTCTCCCTCACAAGCCAAAAACCGAGCCTGAGGGGCCAATAGGGCTCTGACAGAGTCATTGGATTGGGTACGGGGTCAGGGACCTGCGGATTGGATTTCCCGTGGGCAGGCGGATAACTGAAGGCATCTTCACATTCACACGGATGTCATTTCCTGTATGCATATGGTCACGATTATGACCAGATTCCGCCAAGATAGTAGTGGTAGCCCGCTCAGTTCTGGTAATGAAGAATCTAGCCCCGTGGGGCCTCGACCCACTAGCCAAGTTTATTACCTCGGCTTGGGCTTTTCGATCATGTGTGGCCCGTGGTGACACTTGGGCGCTGATCCGGCAGTACTTCAAACCTAGAAACTGGAAAGTCGATACAAAAACGGGACCCGACAGTGCCGTTGAAAAAGGAGCTCTCACGACAGTACCGCCGCTTTTATGTGGGCGCCTGCGGTTCCAGAGAAAAGAGAGACAGTCCGTATCGTCCAGCGAACGGCCTTTGAGCGACGGACCCCTTGTGTGTGGCGTCTTTTTTTTTTTTTGTGCGGCCCCCCCTTCCCCCCCCCCGGTAGCTACCCTACCGGCCCAACCTGCATTTTCCCACACCGACGACCACGTACTCATGGGAAAAGCGATCCGTTACCCGTACCGTTCCCATGTCTTGGGCCTCCTCAGATTGTACCTTGTCGCACACACGTCTGGACCACGGACATACAGGCCGTTGGTCATGGACTTGAAAAAAAAAAAGAAAAAAAAAAGGAAAACTTCGCCATCTTTTTAGCTGCAGAGACTGTGGTCTGCTCTCTTGCAAATCGAGACAGTTCCTTGCGGAATGGAATCCGCGCGAACTGCCACGACACCCAAACTCCAAAACGACCTCCGACAGGGCCGCCACTCCCTGCGACTGCGGAAAGTAGTGGGATCCCACGAAAATGCAAAAAGTACTTGACGTAAGTACTGTCGGATCAGAAGCTTGGTCATCAAAGTCTGCAGTCGGATGTTTTTTTTTTTTTTGAGAAGCTGACAATTCTTATTGCAAATTAATATTGGTTGAGCCGGGGATGTTTTTGTCATCAGTGAACACAGCTTGGGAAAAAGCCAGCCAATCCCGTTTGGGGGAAAAGCATCTGAGTCGACAGGAAAATAGCAGCGAAGAGAACACTGTAGCGCCGTCTGGAAAACAAGACAAGGGAGGGGGGGGGCGTTTTTGCGGCCTCCGATGTTGGCCGTGTAACATTGCGCCACCAACCGTGCATGTGGTTGGTTTCACGACAAACGAACAGATTTGAGCACGCAGCAACAATCCTCGGCCTACAGCAACAATTATCTGGGACGACGGTTGGGAATTGGTACCGGGACATTCGCAGCTGGGACTTTGTCATCTTTGCCACTGATCCACTGCATCCACGATCTACAACAGCGCTGTCATTTCACACACAGACAATCCACGGAGAGCAAGAACCCAACAAACATCTAAGGCTACCATCATCTCAAATTGTGACAACTTACCCAGGCTGAAGCACGGCCTCGCCGGTCCAACTGGTCCCACTACCCTGTCCTGTGACAGTATAAGTCACAGGCGATTGTCCAGCCAAGACAGCTTGCGAGCCTTCACGAGCTGCGCCTTCGAGACCCCGATTGCTCGCTGCGTTCATTGCAAACGCAAACCTGCGCGCACGAACACACAGGGGTCAGGTCCTCAGAGGTCGAGTCCTGTTGCCCTCGCCTTGATTTGGTGAGAGGACTCTCAAGTCGCAGTCCTTCGGGCTCTCTGTCCTCAGTCAAAGTCACATCCAGCTTCGTCATCCCAGTTAGTCAGAGGTCAGCGGCGACTCTCGGTCAGTCTCTTTGCACCACCATCATCAAGGTCCCGGTATCAACATCACCAATCCAGTCAGTCGGAGGTCAGCGTTCCTTTCGGTCAGTCTCCTACCCGTCAGTCCGTTAATTCACGCACCTCACCATGAATCCCTTTGCATCTAGCCTCCCTAATCCGTTCTCCAATCCCGCCCGTCGCGGAAGTCAAAATTCACCCTCCACTCCCCCCTCCTTCCACTCCCTCAATCCCAACGTCACACCACTCTTCGACCCTTTCCTGTTATCCTTCTATCCATCCAACCTTACAGTCCAGTCCCAAGAACGTATTTCAGACGAAAACCTAGCTAGTTTTTTCTCTCTTCTTATCACGCCACTCCGGTCGTCCATTACACCACCGCCGGTATCCGTCGACGAAAGCATCCAGCGCATCTTCGTCTTGGATCCACCATCGGCGACACTGCTCCCTCTTCACATCTTCTCCCTCCCTTTCATCCTCCCATCCACCATCACCTCATTCCAATCCACCTTCGTCGAAGCCAGATTCGGTTCAAATCTCGTCACTTTAGACTTGCTTGAGTTCGTCGAGGATGCCACCTTCTGCACGTTCAAGAATGGCGCACAGTCCTTCTTCCTCCTCAATCGCGACAAGGCATTAGAGCTACTATCTCACTCCTTCTATTCGAACCTCATCTCCTCCCTTATCTTTTTTGGAACTCATAACCTCAATTCTTTAACTCCCCAGGAGCAGGAGAAGGCAAGCGCGGAGCTGGCTAATTACAGGGTGCAGCACGACCACGACCTGCACATTCCTTTCTACTGCTTCTCCTTGTGTCTGGCTTCGGCGAAGAATGACTCCTCCAAATTTTGGGTGAACGGCGGACTCCTCAGCCTCGCAGAGAACCTGCCTCCTCTCGGAAGGTTACCTGGTTTCATCTCCCCCCTGGCCTTCTTCTTCAAGGGTTTCTTCAAACAGTTCGTCAAGGGAGACACCTCCCATCTCCATCTCAACCAGCTGGTGCAAGCAGGACCCGGGCCCTGGTTCAGATTAATCGCAGACCAAGTTTGCGGTGTGCAGGTCGTATACCAGTCATCCCCACTTTTTCCACGTGACGCATGCTATTCGTCGCAGCCGGCACTCCCGCGTCTCGTCTTGAAGCTCGAAGACGCCACGCACATCTTCACTTTCATCGATCAGGAGACTCAGGATGCCGCCGAGGAAGAAGAATGACGATCCTCTCCCTAGGAGAAGAAAGGTTCATCGCCGATCTTCTGACTACGCCTCTGACTCTGATCCCCCCTCACCCAACCAACCCATACCTGTGCAGCAGCTCCTCATCCCGCAACCCCACAAACCATATGCTTTAACCCCTCTCCCTACCCCTCTGAATCCCCCCACTCCCAAGACACCGAGGGCGAGGAGACAGCCGCGCATTTTTCGAGGCCTTGATTACTTCTTCCTCGCCTGTATCATCCTTCTCTTCCTTCTCGTTTTCTTCATTTACTTCCTACTCTTCTTTAGACCAACCTTTTCAACCCCTCCACTACGCTATCACCCAAGCAAAGGAGGATATTAATTGCTCATCACTATTAAGCACGCTACATTCATCTGAATCAGGCCTCGGTCTGTCATGATTTGTCATTTCTTAATAAGGTCACTTATTTAGCATGGTTAACCTCCATCATAGGATAGGAGAACGATAACCAATTTCGTGTTTAATGTTGCTTAAGTGAGCGAATTTGTGATCTGCTACCTGCTCTTAAATGACGAAGCATTCTACATAATCCCTGTATTTTACTTCAACCCTCGCTTTCGATCAAACCCTCATGCATTACCTTAGCATGTTATTTTATTTTCTGCATGAACTCGCAAAAAATAAAATAAAATAATAATAATAAATTAAAAAAAATTGGGCCGTAGCAAAGACTTATTTCCAACAATCAATAATTAGCAAGCAAGACTCTATGTGAATACTCTAGCTTCCACCCACCACCCTTTCGTTTTTATTCCTTTTTAAGAATCTAAACTAC